CTGCAAGGAGATAATTATGATATGTGTACTTCTGTGATTTTGGTAATCATAGACGGAATATGATAGGAACTGTTAACTGCCACCCAATATTCATTCTCTTTTTTCATAGAAACAAAACTCTGATTATACTGGGAAATCAATGTGCACGATTAAAACACAAACAAAAATACAAAATCTACATTTTGAAGCCTACCTTGCAGTTAAGTGTAACAGGATGACTAAGCTCTAGCTAATAGTTGGTTTTTAAAAAAAAGTATTTGAAAGGGACCTTCTGGAAGTTTCCTTTAAAAGTGTAAAGAACGTTGGCTTCATTTTGTCTTTATTCCTACTGCCTGGAATGTAAAAGTCATTGTGAGACGTACATAAGCCATATTTTTGACCTTGTAATAATGAGAGCCAGAAGCCAAGAAAAGTGAAGCTGAAAGACAAGAGTACCTGATTCCCTGGTGACTTTGTGAAGCTGTCATAACAGTGCTAGATTGCCCATTTGCAGACTCTCTTTATGGAGACAGTAAACGCCCAATTTGTTTTAACTGCCACAGTCAAGTCTTAGAATATGATAAAGGTACATTAGAATCACTTTGTAAAAAAAAGTTGTTTGTGGATCACTGTTTCAGCTATTTTAAAAAAATCGCACCCAACATATTTCCACTGGATGGACCCATCTACTTCTCTTTCATACCTCTTCCCTAAGTTCCAGAACCAAAAACCCAACTTCTCCCAAACCTTGCTCCTTGGTTGCCCCTTAGTCACTTAAATTCAACAAGCAAGGCCAGGTGTGGTGGCTCACGCCTGTAATCCCAACACTTTGGAAGGTCGAGGTGGGTGAATCACCTAAGGTCAGGAGTTTGAAACCATCCTGACCAACAAGGTGAAATCTCATCTCTACTAAAAATACAAAAATTAGCCAGGCGTAGTGGCAGGCACCTGTATTCCCAGCTATTTGGGAGGCTGAGACAGGAGAATTATTCAAAGCCTGGAGGCAGAGGTTGCAGTGAGCTGAGATCATGCCACTGCACTCCAGCCTGGGTGACGAATGAGACTCCGTCTCAAAAAACAAAAAAATAAATTTAACAAGCAAAACCTGAATGAGTTTCCATACTCACCGTAGCATGGTCTTCCTTCTATATATACTGTTTAGTTAGCGATGCCATTGGTGACTAAGTAAGCAATTTAACCCCAAAACCTTTCTGAAATTCTTCTTTCATCTTTTTCACCCTTAACACCCAATAGATAATTGACTCTAAACATGTTTCCCTCAGAATTGTTCCTTGTGTGGATAGTCTCCTTTTCATTCTCATCAGTGTTGCCTTAAATAAGTTCTCATTGTTTCTCTTAAACTAATTTTTAAAAGTCATTCCTAAATAGGCCTCAATCCTCCAGTCCCTTATCTTTCTAATTTATCACTGCCCTGTCTAAAAAAGCTAACTTTGAAATACACAGATTTCTTAAAGCCCATCTCAAACTAAGAAATTGTTAATTACTCTCAATTGCCTACAGGGTAAAGTTAAATTATAAATGATCCTTTTAAAACATTCCTAGTTTCCTTTACAGACTTGTGCTCTACTTGCCCACTCACCCCTACTCCACAATACACACATCAAAAGTACCAAGTAAAGTTGTTTTCAGACTCGTTAGACTGTCTGCCATGTCCGTAACGTTCCATGTCTCCCCCCACCTCAAATCCTTTCCCTCTTCTCCTCCTATAAGTACACATTTGTTCACATCTGTTTTCTAGTTATCAATCAAGGCCCAAAGTAAGTTTGAACCACTTATGAAGCCTTATCTTGCCTGCTCTGCACATCAAATAAATTATTTCCTCGCATGCTATGCCATGTACATTTGTACATACCAATTTTGTATGGTTTACTATATTGTTCTGGAGCCTTTTTTGCATATTCAGGTATATTTTATATTTCTTTTTTTAAATGTATTTCAGTATCTTAAGGGAATTACCATCTAATCATCTTTACATCCCTCAGATGTCCTACTATGCCTTTCCCAGAGAGGGGCTAAATTCATAGTAATAGATTTGAACAAGCTATATATATTATTTTCCATACAGGTAAAACATGCAACTTCAAGATGAGTGCTTGCAATATAGATCTAAGAATGATTGGGGAATAATTTTAATTAAATGGTGTATTATGAGAATACCTTTCAGATTTTTTAATATTATTAATTCATCCTCGTTATCCTCCACCTCCATACCTCAGACCCACAACAGAGTGTACTGCCGATTCACTCTAGAAATGCATTCTATTCATACTTCTTATTTTTAACCAACTGTATTTGGTAAAGAAAAGTTTCATGAACATAATTTGGGGATGCCAGCTTTATTTAGTAAACTTTGAATAGTATGTAATTTTGAATACCAAATTTCTGTAATTTTTAATATCTCCCTGCTTTGGAATCATGCTTGCCATTCTTCAAGGGATCTTATAGAAAAATGATAACTTAGATTAGATCTTCTTCTGAATTTAAAGAATAAAAACAAGACAAGAACTCAGGGTCACTGAGAGATTAAAGTAAATGTGCTTTGGCACACGTAAATGAAATGTATTCAGAAAGCTTTCTAGGATCTACCTGTAAACAGATGGCAGTAAGATATGCAAAAGGGGGCATGCTCTCTTTTTTCAGATTTATTTTTTTCTAATGGGGAATAGTGAGTGAGATGATGACAAATAGTTTTGGATTTGCAGTGCTATTCCTCATTTTATATAATGACTCAGCTTTTAAATTGTAAATCATGGATTCTAAATAAATAGCTGCTGCCTAATCTATCTGTAATATATGTAAAGTTCATGAATTTGGATCATCATACCAAACAGGAAAGAATACAAACTGAGTTTATATATAGAAGTGAAATTGTATTTTGGAAGGATAATTATCACCAATAAATTTTAACAGCTATGCAGAAGCTAAAGTTCTACCAAAGATTTTTTTGAAAGCTTAGCTTCAGACAATATGAAACAAAATAAAATTATATGAAATTTAGACCTTATAAAGCATAAACAGTGTGTGAAAATGACAAAAGTAAATAGAAGAAAGAGTTTATCCTCCAAATAAATATACTTTTTTTTTTTTTTTTTACATCTTTAAGGTAGTATAATGTTAAATGAGAAAATGAAGACTGGATGTTTAATAAGCCAAAAGGAATATAGAGTAGTTAAATATATATATATATATGTACACACACATATTAATACATATGCATCTATATATACATACATGCTGTGTTTGTCTGTATAAATGTATATATACATACATGTATGCATATGTGTCTGTACACACACGTTCCTGGTTGTATGGCTTGTGACTAAGTAAAATGCCTTTTTCTTGAAAAGTGGTAGGGCAGTAGTAATATACTTACTTTTGTGCAGAACTTTTGATAAAATCTGAATATCAAAGACACTAAATTTGTTTCCCCTTTAACAACCACTGGTATAAAAAGCTAGAAAGCAATACCATCTTATAATTTCCAAAGTATTCACTATCGACTTGTGTTTTTCAGTTTTATCACAGATTTAGTGTTGTCTCTCTGAACAGAGGAAGCACAGACCTTTGAAGGTGAACTCAGCTCTGACATTTACTAGTATGACACTGGGGAAGCCATATAAACCTTCGTAATTTTACTTCTTTATATATTAAAAAAAAAAATACAGAACAAATAAGTGATCCATCTGGCATGTTACTGTGAAGACTGACATAAAATATAGGCAAGAGATAAACAGTCACTGTTTCCTCCCCTCTACATTTTTTTTTTTCCTTTTTGAGATGGAGTCTTGCTCCGTCACCCAGGCTGCAGTTGCAGTGGCGCAATCATGGCTCATTGCAACCTCCGCCTCCTGGGTTCAAGTAATCTAGTGCCTCAGTCTCCCGAGTAGCTGGGATTACAGGCATGTGCCACGACACACAGCTAATTTTTGTATTTTTAGTAGAGACAGGGTTTCACCTTGTTGGCCAGGCTGGTCTCGAACTCCTGACCTCAAGTGATCTGGCCGCCTCGGCCTTCCAAAGTGCTGAGATAATAGATGTGAACGACTGTGACTGGTCCCTCCCCTCTACTTTTGATGGCTCTTTTCTTGTGTTTTTGTAACTATGTCCTCTTTCAGAACATTAACTCATTGAGGGAATGTCCAATGCCCGGATATAGAAGCCCTATATGTTACACACACACACACACACACACACACACACACACACACACACATAATATATATAAGTAAACTAGTGTAATTAAGAAAAATTTTCTCGGAAATATAAGTTTTCAGACTATTCATAATGTTTCATTTAAACTTAAATTTATAATCTTGGTCCATGTCCTTCTCAAAGTCACTGTTAACTGAATCCAATATAGATATCAAATATTATTTTATTACCATTTCTTCCCCAGAGAAATGATCTATTGCTATTAAAAGATGAGTAGAAAAGTTATACATTAGTTCTACCATGGTAATTTTATAGCAGCTTAAAACTCAGGGCCACCAAAGAATTTATGAAAATTCCTCTAAATCTATAAAGTTCTATCATACTCCATTTCTGAAAGTATATATGGAATGAAAAACCTCAAGAAATGAACCTCTTTGTTATCAAAAGAAATAGGGGGAAAATGAATATCAATTAATAGCAGTGAAGCAACCATCTTATTTTGCTATTCCACATGCATTTCTTTTCAAAAATTACAGGATTTATTTTGGAGTTCTGTTTGTACACATTCTGAAGTCATACTCTAAATTAACATGGATTTCTCATCCAAAAGGCTTACAAAACCTGATTTACTCTTTAATCTCTGAAGTAAATAAAAATAACATTTTTAACCTTTAAGAAATCTGCCAAGGTTTCTCGCTAGTTTAAATACACGTACTTTTAATAAAAACTCCAATTTAGTTTTTCTAAACTGATTTTACCTAAAAGATTTGGTGATGCAAGCAAGGGTATAGTTACTCTGTATCAAGCATCTTCCACTTGTGATCATGGAAGCGCTAGGCAGTACTCACAGCTGACATGATGAGCTCTCCTCCCAGGTTCTGGATCTCAGCTTTAACTTGACTGCAGATTTTCAGCTGGTGGGAGTAGAACTTAATCTGTTCCAGGTAGGCCAACAGGTCCTGTTTGCAAGATGGATCTGGGCACTAAATATGCATCAAAGATAAAAATGGATATAGCAGACTAAATAATAGGCAGATCAAAGTGAGCAAATACAGTATTAATATGGCAGGCACCTTATAAGGCAGCAACTTTATTTTCATTGAGGACCATTTCTCAGGTCAAGCCTAGATAGATTCTGATATGCTTCTACCATTATAATAGTTGATTTATTTTGCAACCTTAATTACTTCAGCTTAGCCAAAAGAAACATTAATATAATTTTTAGACATGAAATGGTATATAAAATAGCTGCCTTTAATTTATGAAGGTTAGAAGCCCTCAGATTTTATTTTTAGGTAAATCTAAATAAGCATTTAAAATGCAATTATTTCCTTCACCTACAGTTACTATTAGAATGCTCCTTGAGACATAGTTCTGCATTGTCTGTCCTGTCCTACTCAAATGGGTGTAAAAAACAAGCAGCAGCATAATATGTTCTATTATGCTCAGCCTTCAATGTTCTTAGCTGTTAACAGACAAAGGAAATAATTTTTACCTTATATAACAACTGCGAATCTAACTGAAGCCAATAAACAGGCAGGGTACATTGTTTCAGAGTATTAAATTTCTTTACAAAAACCAGCCTGCTACATTGTATCGTCTTTTGGAAGGAATTTCCTGGAGGACAGCTTTGAGCTTTATCGTCACATGGTAAATAGCTTCAGTTAAGATTTAATCTTTGTGCTCTTTCTCCTATGAAATTATAATAGATTCATAAAAATCCCTTCTAACTTAATTCCATGTTTAGTAAATTTGTGTAAGAACAAGGAAATGTGGACAGTGATTTATATGCAAAGATCTTCACTGTAGCACTACGTATAATATCAAAATTTGGAAATAACCTAAATATCCCAAAATAATGGAAAGGCTAAGTAAGAATGCATATCGATATAATGTAGCATTATTCAGTCTCAAGAAAAAAGTTTCAAAGGATATGGAAAAATGTTTTTGGAAGTGAAAAAAATCAACATGTAAATATTGCAATCAAATTATATTTTAAAATGCGTGCATTTAAAACATGCTGAATGCTGGATGTAGTGGCTCAGTCTATAATCCCAGCAATTTGGGAAGCTGAAACAGGAGAATTGCTTGAGCCTAGGAGTTTGAGACCAGCCTGGGAAACATAGGGAGACACCATCTCTACAAAAAATAAAAATAAATTAGCCAGGTGTGGTCCCAGCTATTCAGCAGGCTGAGGAGGAGGATTGCCTGAGCCTGGGAAGTAAATGCTGCAGTGAGCCATGATGGTGACACTGCACTCCAGCCTTGGCCACAGAGTGAGACCTTGTGTCAACAAATGCATAAATAAAATAATAAAACATGCTGGGACAGCCTGAGTTGTCCCATCCTTTCTAGGCATAGATCATGGTGCATCAGGACTCTTTGCTCCATACCCAGGCTAGAGAGGTAGACATCTTGATACCAAAAATGCAGAGAACATCTGTGAGATACTATACAAAAAGGAGCATCACCAAGGCATATAATCACCAGACTATCCAAGGTCAACTCTAAAGAAAAAAATCTTAAAGGCAGCTGGAGAGAAAGGTCAGAACACACAGAAAGGGAATCCCCAAAGACTAAAAGCAGACTTCTCTGCGTAAACCCTATAAACTGGGACAGATTAGGGGCCTATTTTCAGAATTCTTGAAGAAAAGAAATCCTAATCAAAAATTTCGTATCCCACCAGGCTAAGCTTTATCACTGAAGGAGAAACAAAATCTTTTCTAGACAAACAAGCATTAAAAAAATTCATTACCATTAGACCAGTCTTATCAGAGATCCTTAAGGGAATTCTAAACGTGGGGGAAAAAAAGAACCAACACCTGCTACCACAAAAACACACTTAATTACAGAGCCCACAGACCTATCAACCAACCAAACCATAGAAACTACAAAGCAGTGAGCTAACAACTTCATGGTAGGATCAAAATCTTGCATATTAATATTATCCTTAAATGTGAATAACCTAAATACTCCACTTAAAAGGCACACAGTGGCAAGTTGGATAAAATAACAACATCCATCCATCTGCTGTCTTCAAGATATCCATCTCACATATAATGACACCTATAAGCTCAAAGTAAAGGGCTGGAGAAATATCTCTCTTGCAAATTAAGCAACAACAAAAAAGAGAAGGAGTGACTATTAGATAAAATATATGTATTTTAAAATATATTTAAAATATAATAAAACAACATATATTAGATATAATATGAATTTTAAAATATAATATATAATAATATATTAGATAAAGCAGACTTTAAACCAACAACAGTAAAAAGGACAGGAAGGGCATACATAATGATAAAGGGTTGAATTCAACAAAAAGATTTACCTATCCTAAATATGTATGTACCCAAGACTGAAACATCCAAATTCATAAAACAAGTACTTATAGTTCTACAAAGAGGCTTAGACAGCCATTCAATAATGTTCAGGAACTTCAACACCTCACTGACAGTGTTAGATTATCAAGGCAGAAAATTAACAAAGAAATTCTGGACTTAAATCTGACACTTGACCAATTGGACCTAACAGACATCTACAGAATACTCCACCATCAACCACAGAAAGTACATTCTTCTCAACTGCACACAAAACGAACTCTAAGAACAACTACTTGTTTGGCTATAAAGTAAATTTCAATAAATTTTTTAAAAATGAAGTTATATCAACCACACTCTTTGAATAATACAATCGAATGAAAATAGCAATACCAAGAAAATCTACCAAACCACACAACTACTTGAAAATTAAACAACTTGCTCCTCAATGGTTGACATGTTTTGGCTCTGTGTCCCCATCCAAAACTCATCTTAAATTGTGTAATCCCATGTGTCAAGGGAGGGACCTGGTAGGAGGTGATTGGATCCTGGGGACAGTTTCTCCCATGCTATTCTAGTAATTGTGAGGGAGTTCTCATGAGAGCTGATGATTTTAAAAGTGGCTGTTTCCCCTGTGTTCTCTCTCTTCTACCTCCATGTAAAACGTGCCTTGCTTCCCCTTTGCCTTCAGCTATGATTTTAAGTTTCCTGAGGCCTCTTCAGCCATGTGGAATGTTAGTCAATTAAACCTTTTTTTTTAATATAAATTAGCCAGTCTCAGATAGTATCTTCATAATAGTGTGAAAATGGACTAATACATTTACTTTTGGGTAAGCAATGAAATTAAGGCAGTAACCAAAAAGTTCTTTGAAATAAATGAAAATAAG